GGCCCGAGCTGCAGGCGGAGCTGCAGCACTTCGTCAGGGGCTGGCTGAGGAAGAGTCTCGACCAACCGCCCAACGGTGAGTCGGAAATCGGCTGTTTCTGCGAAAAAATTATCATAAATCTCGTCGGCTCTGCCGAGATCAGCTCTCTTCCTATGATGCTGTCTGTGTAGAGCCTGCACGTCCTCCCCTGTGTCCTCCCACAGTCCACAGACGTGCAGGGGCGGTTATTTGGCTTCTGGAGGGGTCGGACCCCAGTGCGAGTGTCCCTCACCCCCCTGTGTGTGCCGGACCGGCACCAGGGCGTATTCCGCCCTGCGCCCGGTCCGAAAATGCCAGTTCAATGTTCTGCAGCGTGCTCGGTTCTCTGGAGACCGCAGCGAGTCGTCTCTCCGACCGGGACCCCTGCCTGCCGCAATGACGTCCCGTTTCCCGTTTCAGTGAGCGTAGTCCCCCTGGCCCCCGGGGGGGGGCAGGAGAGGGAGAAGAGGCTGCAGAGCAAGGAGCGAGAGAGCCAGGCGACGCCGAAGGCACGCTCCCAGACTCCGGGCGGAGACAGCCAAACACCACCCCCACTCGGTGAGTCCAGATCCCGGTTCTCCCGGTGCGATCCCGCGCTGGTGTGACCGAGCCCGAGCCGCTTCTCCACCCCCCTACCGGTTGGTCCCGCGACGCCCCTGGGCGCGAAACGCGGGGCCCCAGTGTGATGCCACGGGGAACCAGCCGCGCGAGCTACCGGAGACCCGCCCGCAGGCTACGCGCAGGGCGGCTGATGACATCGCCGTGCCCGAACCAGCTTCCCGCTGCGTGTATTCCAGAGAGTGTCGAATAGGGAAAGCCCCCGAGGATAGAGGCTTCCGCCATACAAGGCCCCCGATAGACAGCCCCAGACCCCCGTTAAGGACCCTACGCAGACGGTAGAATCCGGACTGGAGAAGGGTAACGGGACACACGACAGGATCAGGACAGGGTGACTGACGGGGGGGTGGGACGGCAGTGTTTCAGGGGCTCGAGGCGGGGGGGGATGCGAATGAGTCCAAAACGATCCGGTTGGTGGAAACCAGGAAGCGATCCAAAAGTCCATACCCTGGGAGACCCATCCCCACACAGAGACCGGGGCCGAGGAATCAGGAGCATGGGAGTCGAAATCTGGCTGCTCCGAGCCCCGGACCCAGAGGGGGTCAAACCCTAACCCTATCAGAGCAGGCCACCGTTTATTAAGGCCAAAAGGATGTTTGCCCAGAGTTGGCCAAGGCCTGGTCATTGGGGGTACATAAGGGTGGTACCCTCCCCCCTCGTATCTCCAGTCCGCGCCAGTGCAGCTTCAGGGTTGGTCTCAGACACGCCCAGCGGGGCTCACAGTGCTCTTGTGTTCCTGTTCTCCAGCGGGCGCAGGTGCCGCCCCAGAGACAAGCCCCGCAGAGACCCCACCTCCTTCCACGCTGTCCAAGCTGAGGGGCGTCCTGGAGGAGATGGTGCAGAGAGACCTGGAGCAGCGCGAGAAGCTGGAGAGAGACGTGGCGTCCCTGCGGGAGGAGTGGGAGAGGGAGCGGAGGGAGAAGGAGGAGAGGGATCGGGAGTGGAGGGGAGGGCTGGAGAGGGAGCTGCAGAGAGAGAGGGAGGAGAGGCAGAGGCTGGAGAGGGAGCTGGAGGCGCTGCGGGAGGAGAGGAGCAGGGAGCAGGAGGCGCTGAGGGAGGAGAGAGACCAGAGACAGAGGCTGGAGCGGGAGAGGAGCGAGGGAGAGGAGAGGAGGAGGGAAATGGAGGAGGAGCTGAGGAGCGAGAGGGAGGGGAGAGAGAGGCTGGAGAGGGAGAGGAGCGAGGGAGAGGAGAGGAGGAGGGCACTGGAGGAGGAGCTGAGGAGCGAGATGGAGGGGAGAGAGAGGCTGGAGCGGGAGATCGCGGACCTGAGGGAGGCGCGGGAGAGGGAGAGGAGCGAGAGGGAGGAGCTCAGGCGGCGCTACGAGGAGAGGGCCAGGTCGGAAGAAGCCGCTCACAGGAACGTCCTCCGGCAGATCCGAGCTCTCGCGGAGCAGCCCAGCGGGGCGGACGAGCTCCCGTGAGCAGCTCAGGGGGATAACAGCTGGAAGACAGTCGATGGATGAATCCCATTCAATTAACCAATTAACCAATTAACCAATTAACCAATGACAATTGCTTAGCAGTTAGAGTCTCTAACGATATTGCTTGGGGCACGAAGGGGGGATCACTGTCCCCCTGTACCGGCGAAAACCGCTGTAGAACTGGACCCCTGCGCGTTAGCAGGTTGGATATCAGGCACGGGGCCTGAGGGACTTGGAATCGTAGTCAAAGGGAAGCCCAGGTCAGGAAGCCAGAGGATTCAGGAGTCGGACAATCAGGTAGACGCGAGGACGTTGGCTAGGGGCTCCGCTGGGAAACCCAATACTGAGCCCCTTAAGTATTCTGGGAACCGGGACGTGTGATGGTGATCGAGGGGTCTGATTGGCTAATGAGTTTCTCTGCCGGCTTGTTTCTGATTATGGGGCGATTTAAGGTAGGTGGGGGTGGGGGGGACTGTGGGCACTTGGGGAATGACAGCCCCCCCCAGCCCCCCTCCATGAGACCGGCCAATCAGATGTGAGGAGGGAAGCCGAGCAGGGAATGCTGGGAAGGAAAGCGGCTCCCCTTGGGAAAAACACGAAACAGCAAAACTCTCGTCTGCCCCCCGAGAGCCACTCGTCTCCCGGTCTGTGGGGACAGAGCTGATCTGGAGTGTCGGACCCTCGCAGTGTGTGTGTGTGTATTGTGTTACAGTTGTGCTTAAAGGTTTCAGGTGACTCAAAGCCACACACTTGTTACTCACAATTCGCTGATTTCTTAAAAATGCTCGGAATGCGCTTAATCAAAGGCGCTCGGTTATATACTTTTCACTTAAAACCAATTGCCATAGAGTTATTAAAATTGCAAAAATCTACTTATTGCAGAAAACTGCTGCCTTTATACATTGTGACCTGTGACCTGTGACCTTCTGTTTATTACTCACGATTGCAGTGTTGCATTCTGGGCACAGAGAGAGGGGTGAACAGCTCACGTCTTTGGCCTCTGTGTTTCAGTTGGACTCCAGCCCAGAAGGGTTTTTTTTTTTTGGGGGGGGAGGGGGTGTCAGATCCCGGCTGGTGGCGTTTCAGGGGCGTGGAGGGAGACCGCCCCCAGACGATTGCAAGACCAGAGGAAACACGCAAACTCCCCTGCGGAACGTGCTGCGGTCCAGACTCCGGCCCAGGAGCTCTAATCAGCCCGTCTCTCCTGTTAAACCTGTTTGTGTAACTCAGCCCCCACGTCTCCCTGTGAATCACAGTCTCTTCACCTGGTGAAATAAACTCATGCCGTTTCTCTGTGTCTGTCGTGTCGTGCGTCAGAGTCTTTCGTTCCGGTCTAAGACTTCGGACAACAGTTATGGGATTTTTGCTGAGCTGGCCTGGTTTTCTCTTGCCCTTGGCTTCCAGTCCGGCGTGGGACTGACAGTCCGGGATGGTGTTTTAACCTCAAGTGAGCGCTCCAGCGTGTGGATGAGGTTCTAGTGAATCAGAAAGCCGCTGACAAATAAGGGTGAATATAATCCCGGAGAGAATCCAGCCCCCATCCTGTCCTGGGACGCAGAGAGAACATGCGAACTCCCCCATAGATGGTGCTCCGCCTGTCCTGTACTGTGCAAAGTGTGTAAATCTACCTTATTCCGCACAGAGGTTCGGGTTTATTTTGATTGAGTACATTAAAGAATAGGAAGAGTAAAGTACAGTCCTTTTGAATGTGTCCTTCATCTCTTATAAACGTGTATATTCATTATATACAGTATATATTATAATTATATTATATTATTATATTACACAGTATAATATATTCAGTATATTCATTATGTATTTGTACGAAGTCTCATATTAACTACCGAGGAAGAATTTTAGCATTGACCTTTCATGAAGTAATATAGTGACTATCTGCCTTTGCCCTTGTGCCTTTTCTGCTTAGCAACAGTATAAAAGGCTCATTCAAGCCCGTTATATGACGTTAATACCACAGAACGTCTAGGTCATTCCCCACCTTCTGTTTACGTACTCCCTTCTGCCCGCAGACAAGGTCAGATCGCTGATCGACAAGAACGCGGTCAATCGCAAGGGAGTGTTTCGCAGAGAGGAAAAACAGCTCCTCCTCTGGAAATTGCGAACGAGCTGTCCGGAGTGAATCTGCTGTATAGACCTCACTGCAGTGACTGTCTCTGAGGAGAGGCTGCTCTCAGATCTGCGCGATTGTATCCTCCTCATGCGCGTGAAGAAGGGACTCTGCGTGACCACACCAGACCTGCGTGAAGAGCTTTCGTCGACACTGCGTTAAACATTCATTTCTTTCCCTTCTTTGTAAATTATGGAATGTGAGCATGCCCAAAGGGGTTGGGCCGCCAGCTGACCTTGGACCCCCAGAGGTTTCTTTTCTCCTTACTGAGGAGTTTTTGGTTCCTCTCCTCCGTTGTCTTCGGTTCTGTATTGACACAATGTCTGGTCAATTGCATTGTTAAGGGCCTTGGGGCAGCCTTGTTGTGGAAGGCGCTATATAAAAATACACTGACTTGAAAGAGCTCCCTCTCCCGGGCCAGTTCGTTCCACGGGTCTTTCCGTGAGACACAAGAGGAGAAAATGAGTTAATGAGATCCAGCTTCCTTTTCACATGTCCCTCTGCAGGTTGAGTGGTTGCTCATGTAGCGCCCCTGAAGAGGGAAATTATTTAAAAAATCAGCTCCTTGTTTCCTCATCAGTGGCGTATTTCGTGCGAATGAGGAAAGGCAGCGGGAACTCCCCTCTCGCTGTGTTTCACAGACATAAACAGTAGATTGTCGATTACAACTGTAGACTCTACGGGTAGATAACAGATAGGAAGACTGAACACAATAACATCCCGGTGAAAACTACACGGAAGAACAGCGTCCATCGCAGCCCATTCCACTCACCGGCGTGAAGGGGTTACAGGAAGAGTCCGCGGCTGGAGCACGAGGAGAATGTTCTCGCTCCTCCACATTCCTCTCGCAGACAGGAACAGCCGCTCCAGCTCAGGACGCCGACGCAGACGGCCGCTCTCGTCCTCTGGAGAGGGTGACCCTGCTGTGGGGCAGTCCTGGGGTAGGATCAACTGCTGTGATCTACTCCTGGAGAAGAAGTGATCACTGAGGACGAACCCTGACCTTCCATCAGCCTGCTGTTTAACAGCCCTGCTGTGGAATAGACCCTCAACGCCTGTGGACTCATCCTGACCCGCTGGGAGTTAACACACAGTCCCTGAGGCCGAAGGGAACCGGTGTGCAGCAGGTGAGCGCTTTTCTCTGTCCTGCGTCACCCAGCTCAAGGCTCTCCTCTGCCCCTCCCGCTCACAGGCGCCGGGACTGGGGGTCTCCTGGAGTAGAGTAAGCTGCTGTGGAGGGCTCACTGCCTCTTCAGTGCGACTGTGCGTCTCGGGGGTCTTGGGGCTCCCTAATGTAAATGAATCACCCTCTCCGTCCACAATAATCCGCTTTCTTTCACAGAAACACACAGTGGACAACCTGCGGCTGGGCTGAGCATCTGGAGGAGCCGGCGACACATCTGGATCGGTACCCCCAGCTGCCCGGGGTTCTGCGGGGGTTCGTGACTGAGTCCCTGGAGGTCTGGTGCCCAGAGAGAGGAGGGAGACCCCCGAGGCTGAGGGGGACAGAGACGGGAAGAGAGTCTCGCTCTCCAGGGGGGAGAGAGGAGGGACAGGAGACAGAGAGAGAGAGAGAGATGGCCACAGCTGGGGGTGAGTTTCTGGTCTGTTTCTCTGTCCTTCTGTCGCCCTGAGACAGTTCTTCTGCCCCGGGAAATACCCTCCTTCTGTCCCCAAGTAAGCCTTCACCGCGCAGGCAGCCAGAATCAGGAGGGAGCAGCTCACTTCTTTAAAACTGGGGCCGAGGGACGAGTTACAGAGCCAGAGTTCTACGATCCTGCAACGATCCTACTTGATAACTTACTGTATGGAGGTCATTCTCGCCTTCTGCCATCAGACTGTACAACGCACCCACCTTGCGTCTGGGCAGAGGGAGCACTGACAGGGACCTGTTTCTGGACTGAGCAGTAAACTGACGCATCTGTTCTTTTTCTTTTTCCTGTTTACTGACGTTTTTGGTGCAATATATGCCAGGGACCCGTGCAATACATTTATGTATGAGCAATACATTTATATCTATATCTATATTTACATATATTCATATGTGTGATACGATTTTGCTGTGTACTGTTCTTTTCTAGTTTGTTCTTTGTGTGTCCAGACTGTGAGTAACTCTTGTAGTGCACCCCTCACTGTCCTGATTGTATTGTAAAGTATCTCTCTATCTATACCTATCTATACCTAGTAACCGATCTATAACTGATAACTACTGCCCAAATCGGCTCACAGCGCAGAAGGATTTCGGCAGGGACGCAGGTTGATAAAAAAGTACCTCTTTAAATGCGGGACTTTTGGCAGGATAAATTCAGAAGGCGCAACAGCAGCACAGCATCATCCAAACGAGTAAGGCAAGAGCCGTCTCCCCCCCCCCAGAACAATGAGAACAGGTCGGTCTCTGCAGCAGACGAAACCCGACTATACTTCGACTGTCCTGGAAGGGGTTGGGAATCCTGGGGCCTTTAAGGGCGGGACCTCGGTCCCCTTAGAAGCCTCAAACACCCCCCCTCCTCCTTTGTGAAAATCCCTCCCTTTGCAAATTAAAAACAGCGACGTCACCTTCCCAGTTCTCCTGCTCTGACACCAACTGGACCACGGGTGTTTGGGCTGTGGGCAGGTGTGGCTGTGGCTCAGGCCGCTGTCCAGGTTTCTCTGGTGAGCTGATTACTTCTGATTGCTCCCTCTCTCCTCCCTTTGAAGACCCCGAGCTCCTCCCCTAAGCTCTCACGGGTGTGACACACAATAGGGCCAATTTCCCAATTAAATCTGACACGAAACACATCGCTCGACTTAATTCTCCCATGAGACACTTTTTGTACCTTACTCACAGTCCAGAACACACAAAGAACAAACCAGAACAGTACACAAAAAGTTGTATTGCACAATCTACATCTAAATCTAAATAAATATGAATATAAATGTATTTATTGCACAGGTCCCTGGCATATATTGCAGAAAAACGGTTGTAAAACAAACAGATGTAGCAGTTTGCTGTTCAGTCCAGAAACAGGTCCCTGTCAATGGCGCCCCTGCCCAGACGCACAGTGGACGCGCTGCACAGAGAAACCGAACCTGGGCCGACATCAGGACCTTCACCGCTGAGCAAGGGGGAAAGGGAGACCCGGAAATATACACCCCCCAGACAGAGAGACACCGGAAGGACATGCAAAGCACAGGGAAACTAGGGACAGGACAGAGCAGCCATCTTCTGCTTTATTAACGGACCAGCCCAAT